GTAAACCTTTCACTGTCTCTTTCTCTCTATAGGACAGTGTGTATACAGCCAGTCGAAACACAAAGATCCCGGTGAGGTGGACGGCTCCTGAAGCGGCAATTTACCAACGGTTCTCTGTCAAATCAGATGTCTGGTCGTTCGGGGTGCTGCTGTACGAGATGCTGTCCCGCGGCAAGATGCCCTATGAAGGTATACTGAAGTGTACAGTCTTATTATTTGATGGAGAACTGCAGCTATTTAATTACTTTCCCACTGGTTAATAATGAGGTTAACACACTGGGCTCAGTAGTTTAGAGTATACCCAACTTCCTGTTATACAATGGTTGATGGTGAGTGTGCAATTTATTGTTTCTAATGGTGGTTACACCCTTCCCAGTATTACTCTGTCAAGTTAATACAATGGAATAATGTCATTGGATAATGCAGTTTACGTTATCCAAAAAGCTGATTCTGTGTCTTACTCATTGTCAACAAATCATTTGAAAAAAAGGTAGAAATAAGAGTGAATGTGCTTGGGCTGAAACACACAGACAACATTGTTTGGACAAATTGAAAAGTGTTGGGAGAAGATGTAACATTGTTCTAAATCGCTAAATACCATGCACTATTAAACCATTTTATTTTACAAAAGGGTTTAAACATTACCCTAAAAAGAGCTTTCTTATTTTTTGGTATATTTTCTTGGGGTTATTTTATAATGGCCACACTGTTTTACTGGGTGACTTGTTCCTGAATCATCACACACACACACACACATTATTTTGACTCAGTCCCACATGTCCTGCTGTCACAAGCACTCACTTGAGAACCACACGCCGATTAATCCTCAGCTCAAAATAGTCTACAACAAATGCACCATTTCCTCCTGTTTGATAAAGACTACAGAGTCCAGCTATTTTAGGAAATAACTGATACTTTAAAAAAAATAGATCTTTATATGTTTTACTATTTTTAAAAACGTATGTCCTCAGTAAGATTTAATAGAGTTAGGGCTAAGTACCACAAACTGGAAGTCAGAAAATTACTCGTAGGCGGATCCACACGTTGTTGGTTTAGGTCTTTTCATATGTTGGAAATATATAGATTGAGGAACACAAGTCTTATTATATAAAAACAAGTTTTATCATAACATGTACTTTCAAGATACCTTGATTGAATAAGTAATGTTGACTTCATAGTGAAATATCCCAGCCTGCAAAAGAAAACGATTGAGAAACTGGTCAGCTCCCAAACTCGTGCTTTTATATTTCTCTCATTAGGAAAAAACAACAAAGAAGTATTGGATCTGCTGTCATCTGGGTTTCGGTTGCCCTGTCCCAGCCGCTGTCCGCAGAATATTTACAGAATAATGATGGACTGCTGGGGCGCAGAGCCCTCGAAGAGACCCTCGTTCCACGCCCTGCACAGCCAGCTGGACTCCATATACGCCAGGATATACTTCAAGACTATAGAGGTGTAGAAGAAGTGAAACATGGAGGAAGAAGGGGACAGCTGGAGCAGATCTGCAACGGACTATCAACTGCTGGATGGACTGCAAATATGCAGAGAGAAAGAAAACGGGGATGCATGCAACGTCTTCCACTACAGGGTAATTGTACTTTAAAAACACCACGGTGTGAGAAGACAGAGGGAAGAGCATCAGAACTGGACATTTGGAGAAGATGCTCGCCAAATCAAGGAAAGGAATTAGGAATACCTAAGATCTTAGGCTCCAAGAAAGCAAGGCAGATAATCGAAAGACTATCACCTTAGAAAGGTTTGTATACACTCCTACCCCTAAAAACAATTGAACACTTAACCCTCGGCACATTCACAGAACCAACTGTTTTTAATTTTATACCCGTTTTGTGTTTTATAAATGATATTTTATTACTTCTTGATGTGCCATGTTTGTGAATGCACACATTTTGAAATGTTATGAAATCACAGGTAAGGACTTTATTTAATCACCTGCCTTTGGGCTGCAAAGCTAAGATGGAGGTTATGTGCAATAGTTAAGAGGTTTTGGGGTTTTTAACCACGCTAGCGGCCCTGTGCTAGAGATCTTTTGGCATTTAACTGATGCCATGATATTTTGTTAAGACCTTTGTGATCCTCAAAGGATGAAACTCACTTTGATGACTTTTTCTAGCATCACCAACAAATAACAATTTTCTTTTTACAACACTATGAACAGACTCCCTCCAGCTTCAGCTGTACTTAATTACATTTGATTAAAGGTCTCTCTAAATAATAAACCAATACTCTATTATGGTACTTTAATGCTTAGAATAAAAAGATGGATGCATGTTAACTTGTTAGCTCGACAGACAACATTCATGCTAAACTCAGTAGCATGCTCAACTGGATAAATATAGAAAACGTATTAATTTCAGAATTAAACTCAAACCGATAAGCCAAAGTACAGTTCTTTGAGTCTGAGATGCCTTGAAATGGACACTATTCAGAGTTTAACCGTTTATATTTGCGTGACAAAATAGCTCAGGGAGAATTTTTTTAACACCATTAGACTTTAATGATCCAAATCAACTTCCTCTCCATCAGCTTCATGGGTCCTCTAGCGTGGCTGACCGTTGTTTGTCTTGTTTTTAACCACAAAAATAAAGTATTTTAATCTGCCAACCTTCTGTTTCAGGAATTTGAGAAGGTTTTGGCTACATGTTGCACCTGGATAAATGTTTTTCTTGAATAATATGGGGAATTGTTTTTATCTTTCAATGTTTTGGGGTCTGACCCGGTGCTTTAACGGTCAGTGGGCCATAGAGCCATGTGTACAGGTTTTAAATTATTAAACTTTGAAGAGGTCCACTGTAATGGCCGGTAACAACTTGAGTGCCTATGTTTACACCACACACTGTCCAAACACTACACTTCAAACTGGACTGTAAAAACGACAAATATGGAATAATGTATGAGGCTTAAAGACCTGCACAGTGAATTAACAATATCCAAAGGGGAATTGAGACCAATGCAACTTTTGTCTTTTATGCATGAAAATAATCTACAGACAAAGCCACGTTCAGGAAACTTTAGCCATAATCATCAAATCACAAGATTGAGTTGTGTGTTTTAGGCTGAATGCCATTGGGTACCAAACACTAGTAGTACGAAGAATAAAATATGTTAAGTATTGTTTGAAATGTGCCTGTGCTTTTTAATCAACTTCCACTGTATTTTAACTGCAAACATAGAAATACAACTCTTTTTTTTCGAAATACAAATGGGGGGGGGGGAAGGAAGATGAAGCTACAACTCTAAAGAAGGATATGAGTTTACTGAGAAAAAACCAGAAAGGATCTATTCTTATCTATTTTGCAGGTTTTATCACTCACACTTTTAAGCACCCTGTAAGATTTTACATTGATTTCATTTCTTATAAACTTAACAGCCATGGCTTTTTATGTAAGCCAACACAGACATTAGTCTAATGTGCGTCTCTTGTTCAGTGCAGGTGCTTCCAGTCTTCCAAAAAAAGTACCCAATGAATGCCAGGATTTTAAGCAGAAATTACAAAGTGTCTTACTATGTTTATCTCTAAAGAAATTGCATTTGGACATTATTCCTCTAAGAGTACATGCCTCTAAATACATTACAACTAATCATATTCATCAACCCAGTTGTGCCATGAAGTATAAAGCATTGCAGCAGTAATGGGCATATTCAATATTTTAATTCCCACTTTTAACAATCACGATGTATATTTTTTTAAGACACACAATGCATATCAGTAATGTTACATTCATGTGAAATATGTAGTTTACAATTGAAGTTCGTTCAATTAAATTATCCTCCAACTCAAGCAAATGGTAAGAAGAGAAAAGCATGTGGCCCTGTTGAAAAGTCCTCAAACAAAAGGTCTGAGTCACAGCTGTCTACATGATGCAGAAACTGTGGCTTGTACCAAAAAAAATGTGGCTCAGTCCCAGCAAAGTTCAAAAGAGAACCTTTAACCTCATATTACTGTGGGTAGGATATATTGGCAGCAGATACAATTAGGAGTAAAATAATGCACAATAAAAAAGTTATGCCGTGTATTCAAGGAATGTCTTTGTCATGTTTTGTTTCTTCAAGTTGTTTTCGCTGACATTGTTCTGATCCGGCCAAGCAAGATTAATAAAATAACTGAAAAGGGGTTTGAATGAACTGCTTCAGAGAAACCAAGAGTGAGAGACACATTTTATGACATCTTCTCTGAACTCACAGAAAAAACCCTTTCTGACTGGGAGGAGCTATGTGAAAAGATGAAGTAGTTACTGAGGGCAAAGTATGAAAGTAATTGTGCTGTTTAAAAGCTGGAATTTCTGCGTCACTAGCTTTGGCTCCACATTGAGGTGAGCTCAGACAGAAAGAAAAAGCGAATTCCCAGCTTGCGTTATTTGCACAAACCAGTGATTTGCATTTGTAGCAAGATTAATTGATTGATATTCTGTACAAACTGTGAAGTCCACTGAGACAAATGTAACATTTGTGATATTGGGCTATATAAATAAACATTGATTGATTGATAGCTATACAAGTACAATATTCATGCATTCAAACTTTAAGTTGGAGTAGCCTACATCAAGTTTATTTTAATGATGTTACTTTGTACTTTTACTTAAAGTGCTCACTAAGCAGAATGGCCTGTTGTATAATAAATAAAGTTTGACATTTGGGTTAAAATAATCAGCAGCATAAGTAATTCTAATGAATGCATCAATAATCATAATAAAGTAATTCAATATACATTATTTTGAAGTGGGTCATTCATTATTAGAAGTACTAATTATTATTAAACTACTTTTATTTTGGACTTTTACAAGTATTTTCAATTAAATTAAAGTATGACATCGGATTACCTTTTTTCCACCACTGTTTGTAAACAATCAGAACTAAGTCTACCACTATATCTGACATTAGCCAGTGTGAGGTTTTGACGCCTGTGTCCTTTTATAGGCGGAGTTCTCGTGTTTTTATTATTGCCTGGCATAAGGAAGTAGCGTTCAGTGCAGAATCAGTCTCAGAGGATAAGGCCACAGGCAGCGGTTTCACTGTAGGGCATTCCCAGGATTCGTCACGCAGCATCACGCTCTACCTGTCCAACAGGTGAGGCCAGCTCACGCACAGCAGAGGGAGAAGGCTTCAAAACCGAGCAGGGAGGCCACTCTAGGAGGGGGGGTGCGGGAGCATTCATGGTCATCTATGGGTGAGTGTCTACGGAAAGCTTGCCCATGTCTGGAAACACTATGGCAGAGGATTTTCAGCGACAAGAAGCCTCCTCCTGGAGCAGAAGGAGGAGGAGGAGGGGGAGGAGGGAGTAGTGGTGGGGAAGGAGGAGGGGGGGGGAGCAGTATGGACGGTACCGGAGGGGTTAGCGGCAGCATCAGTGACGGTACCGGAGGGTCGAGCCCACCGAGCCAGGCCCCGCAGGTGAAGGGGTCCGAGAGCGGCTCCATGTTCCGGGCGCTGTGGTCGTTTGAGTCTCGGCACCCGGACGAGCTGTCGTTCCAGGAGGGGGATCTGTTCAGCGTCATCAGCCGCACGGGGGACTGGTGGACCGCGCGCAGGATCGATAAGAACGGGCGCGTGCTCGACACCGGGGTCGTGCCCAAAAACTACCTGGACCGGGCCGAGTCTCTGCAAACGCAACCGTGAGTGATGGTGGCAAAATACAGAAACGGACCATCAACTATTTAGGTCATTTGAATACACATAAATAAACTGGGTCATTTGCAACCATAACACATTTCAGATTTTACAGACTGTTGCCTAATTTGCGATTCGCTTGACCCATATAAAAGGGAGCCATATCATTAACAATCATATTATTACAAAATTCTGGATCAAAAGTTTTGAGGTGCTAACAAATTATTAACACGCTGCACAAGGTGTTGACAAGTAAATCACAAGATGCACATCGTATAAATGCATCAAGTTCTTCACACCATCAGCATACTGCACTGATAAAATAATCTGACCTATAGTATAGCACAAATAAATCTGTGATATTAACAATACCAAATAGAGTTCAGGGTATCTTTACATGACTGTAGTTTTTAATGTAGTTATCTACAAGGTGTACAGGTGTGACCCTGTATAAACCAATCAATAATAAATGATTGAGCATTTTCTTAATAGATACTGAAGGTATTATCAATTATTACATTATCAAGTGAGTGTGGCTTCAATCTTCTCTACACTTTCATTTGATGGCTTAAAATCACTGCAAAAATACTCTTGTTTGATCTTGATCATAAAATTAGGTTGACTTTACTTGCACATAGATTTTTTTACCTCCTAAAATCTAAATCTAAATCATGGGACTTGAACATGAGGCTTTCAAGTCTTTGGAGTTACTGCAGAGAGGCGAGGTAAATCATTTTTGGAATTTATTTTGTATCCCTTATTAATATTTGATATTAAATACATTACAGTTACATGAATCCAACATATTATTAAGAAAGGTACTTTGGCCTATTAGAGGTGCAGTGATGACGCACGTTGAACAATAACGTGAGCTATATAACCTGTTCTAAATCACAACCTATCACAAGGGGAAAACTTTTTTTTTTTAATAAGGTTTTGAATGCATCATGAAAAGGTACATTTTTACATGGCATTTTAGTTACCACCTTTATTATAATTGAAATGTATAAAAACGCTTCTTTATTTATTCACAGAAGATTATGTTAAAAGAGCGATAGCCTCATTAAACGTCATTCACAAAAAATTAACCTAATAGTTTGTCATCACAATTCCTATTTTTGGTTTGGCGTAAATGATTAAAATCGGCTACTTTTCCATAATCATGCCATCATTACATTACATTACATTACATTGCATTTAACTGACGCTTTTATCCAAAGCGACTTACAATAAGTACATTCGACCAGGAAGACACAACCTTGAAGAAAACAGAATCATATAAGTACATCAGGTTTCATAGAGCCAAACATTTCAAGTGCTACTCAACTGGCTTCATGAACACCAAGTGAGCTTTTATACAATGACAACTTACTATAAGGAGTATCAGGAGAAGTTTATCCATGTTATTATTATTGTTCTGACTCTTCTGCATCACATACCTCTGTACCCTGTGTTGTGAGTCACACTGTGAGCATCTCAATAACACCTTTCATAATGTCAGTGTCTAGTCTAAGCAGTGAAGCCGCACCACTTCTTGTTTTGTCTCTATCTCTCTGTTTATTGCTTCAAAGTGGAAGTGTGTACTTTGAGTTTTGAGTACTTTGAGTTGTTCCCACATGTCCACAGCTGCTGTGGTCTAAAACTAAATTACAGAGTTGCTGGTTTTAATATGTTAAAAACTGCGATTATGTGTTTATTATCATTTAATGTTGAATTTATTTCATTTTTAAATCTGTTTTTACTTGTATGGATGGACATGCAACCATTATTTTAATTACGATAATCAAAGAGTTACCATTTGATGACCACTTCCTATTTTTGACTTGTATTCATGGCTTTCTGTCACGATCAGGTGGTTTTTCGGGACAATGAACCGCATTGAGGCTCAGAGCCACCTGATGGGAACAGGAAATGACTCGGGAGCTTTCCTCATCCGACACAGCGAGAAAGACCACGTGGGATATGTTCTGTCAGGTGAGACAAGAAGGAGAGTGGCGAAATGGGAACAAGATGTGTGTCGTGCCACTAGGTCTAGGCAATATAACAACATTATATATATATATATGGATATCGTGATATGAGACTAGATATCATGGTAGATTGTGGATATTGTAATATAAGTGTTGTGTTTTCTTGGTTTTTAAAGGCTGATCATATCAACATCACTAATGTTTTCTCCAAAATGGTATTGTGTTAAAATGTAATGGAAGTGCCAATAGTCAACCCTAAAATGTTGTTATAATATTGATAGAGGTAATGTGTTAAAGGTCCCATGTCATGGCCATTGCTACTGATCATAATTCCATTGTTGAGGTCTACTAGAATAGATTTATATTGAGCAATTTTCCAAACTCACATTGGTTTCTCATACAGCATCTCTGTGTGTATTCACTCCCTGTCCTAAACGGCTTGTTCGCCGCTGCAAGGCTCCACTAGGGCGTCACAGTTTCGCAGCTGTGTGTGTGTGTGTGTGTGTGTGTGTGTGTGTGTGTGTGTGTGTGTGTGTGTGTGTGTGTGTGTGTGTGTGTGTGTGTGTGTGTGTGTGTGTGTGTGTGTGTGTGTGGTGTGTGTGTGTGTGTGTGTGTGTGTGTGTGTGTGTGGTGTGTGTGTGTGTGTGTGGTGTGTGTGTGTGTGTGAGGAGCTCCACAGATTGGTCCATTTGGAAACAATGGAAAAAGAGAAATCCCCAACGAGGTGTTCTTGGGCAGCAAAGACAGGTCTTTTCTGTGTTAGAGTTTTACATGGTGTACTTTGAGGGTTTGTGACTCTGCAGACCGTTTACATGCATACAAACCTTCATAACACACAAGGGGATGGGTAATAACCGTAAAATCATGACATGGGACCTTTAAAATCGAGTGAGGAAGGAAAGAGTTTCGCTTCAGTTTAGAAAAACGAGAGTGAGATACAAACTGCTTTTGTGCAATATCACTTACTATTTAATATTGTTACTGGCCTCTTGTTCACTTACTTTATTTTGCTGCTACTTATTTTATTGTATTACAAGTGTGTTTGCCTTTATGATTTAATACCCAAGCCTACTTACTTTATTTTTGTCTTTCATCTTCGCTGTCACTTTGCTGTAAAGATTCTGCAATGTGTAAAATATAATGATAGCACTCTGCCTTAGGATGTGGTAGTTTGTGAAGGAAAGAACGAGCAACCTAAAATAAGAGTTTTACACATACTCAATCAAATACTGTCTAATTCATGTTTATAGATAAATAAATACATCTTCCGGAAAAATTACACGTGACACTAGCAGCACATGAATGAAAAAACACTAATCTCAAGTGCACCAGTATGCCCTTTTACACGAACACGTACACAAGTATGTAAAATAAATGTGAACCCTGCCAGAATTGACAAAGCTCAGTCCCATTATACCTCTGACTGTATTTTCTTCCTTCCTGCTAAATGCCCGTCCGTATATTACCTTCACTGATGACCTTTCAAAGAGCAACAGCACAACCGTAACCACAGAAAATGTCAGTATTTATTTTTTTCCTTCATATCATGCAGGGTACTAATTCGTACCTTTCAACATGACCTACAACACTTTCTACCAGAGCTACAACAGCCAAACCTGTAACACACAACTCGGAATGAAACTGCAATACAATATCATTTCTATTTTACATTTCTTTGAAATCTTTTGCGGAAACTCTGTTTTTGTACCTGTTATGAAGCATTTCAACATGTGTATATGCCCTGACCAATCATTGAACATCTAAAATAGTTCCCAGGATGTTCTGTGATAAAAGTTTGTGAGACATCTCAGATGCTGTTTTGGTGCTTTTTTTGAAGCAGCTTAGTACTTATAGATCTATTAACCAATATTAAGATAAATCCAAGTGAGGAAAATGTAAGTGAGGCTAAGGTCTTTGTGTTGTACTTTTCTAATGAACTCTGCTTTTCTCTGACTGTCTGTATGTCTGTGAATCTTTCTGCAGTGAAAGTGAGCGTTCGGGTGAAGCACTTCAAGGTGCACACAGCAAACGAGACTAATTTCTACATAGAGCACAACCTCCAGGTCACCTCCCTGATCGACTTGGTGGAGCACTACTGCGCCAACGACCTGACCAACACCGGCACGCTGGGAAACCCCTGCAAGAGGGTAGGAGGCTATCTCTCTATCTTTATTGTTCCTTTTTTCTTCTGCATATGAGAAAACAAGAAGTGTGAACACAGTTCAAACTTAAGTACAGCTGTTGTACTTCTTTTGAGTGGAGGTGTGTTATGTTGTTGCAATCGAGCCTCAATGCGAAATTCACAAAAGGAAATCATGCAACAAATATGCAGAAGTTGGCAGGAAGCCAACTATAATGCTTCAAAATAAAAATGCAACACTAAGTCCCAGAGATATGTCAAACTCAATGCTATGATGTAGAAATGCACTGTTATAAGGAAGTGACAGAACAAACATATAAGCATCAAAATACAACTAAATTAACAAAAGTCAACGTACTCATGACAAATGCAACATTTTTCTAATGTAATGAGTAAAGGGTATAGCAGTGAATGGAAATACTCATAATAAAGAGGACCTTGAAGTATAATGCTTTAGTTAATAACTCGCAACCCCTCAGCAGGAATTTTCCAATCGATTAAAGCTCTATAGAAATCTTAGTGATGGATATTCTCAGCACAGAATCACTCTTTGTTTAATAATGTAAAAATAAAGACCTGTCCTGTTTTAAAACAGACTTGGAAAAATAGACCTATCCTGCCATGAAGGTGCATTGTTAACACATTGTGTATCAGAAGCTATGAGTCGGAGGATTTACTTGTTGCTTTTGTCCAACATGATAATAAACTAAATAAATGTTGCTTTCTGACGGCAAGTTAGACAAAATAAGACATCGGATAACTTAACAGAAATTAATTGGATCATATTTCACTATTTTATTACATTTTAAAGACCAAACAATTAGTACAGAAAGTGATTGTCCAAAAAGAAAACACAGTTGCAGCTCCAAACGTTAGAGATATACCGTACGTTTACATATTTCACATTTCCATGCAGTGATCCTGATATTGAATGATAGATTGAAACAGATCTAATATACTTTAAACTTTAGCTTTCATGCATTGTCTAGCATTTCTAATCTGTATTGATGTCCCTTTATGACCAACAATTGCGTGCACGTGTGTTTCCCTCATCAGAAAAAGCCTCCTACCACAGATCTGAGTCACTTTACGGTGGACGAGTGGGAGCTCCCGAAAGACGAGTTCACGCTGTTGGAGGAGCTGGGCAGCGGATACTTCGCTGACGTCTACCGGGGGCGCTGGAAAAACCACATCAATGTCGCCATCAAGATCCTCAAAAGTGGTATTTGTTCCTCTCTCTTAAAGCTCGATTTAATATATTTATGAACACGAGGAGTTGTTTAGGTTCTAAGCTCTTCAAAAACCAAACGGAACGGCTTGAAAAAGTTTTAAATACAGAAATGTTTATTTGAGCTCCTTTTACATATTTAGCTAATCTAGGCTGAGAAAAAAGTGGAAACGGATATATGGTGAAAGCACTTTAATGTGACTGTTCACAATTAAATAGTTGGTTGACCCTGTCATTATTTATTTGTATAGTTATTTAAATGTTTTGATACATTCAGATGTTATGTATGTAAAGGCTTAATCCTAAAGAAAGAATTAGAGGCTTTAAAGAAATACGGACACAATACATTTGACTTCTTTAAATTCTCTTGAATCAAAGTAATCTGAGTGAATCGGAACAATAAGTCACATTGATTCACATTGATGATTCATTTCAGTAACTTTGACACAAAAGTGGCATTTCCTCGTGGTTTCTAGCTCCTCAAATGTGAAATTATTTTGCGTTTCCTTCTCTTATAAAATTTAAATCTGCAAAGTAAAGATATCAAATAAAATGCAGTACAATATTTCGCTCTTGAATGTAATGGACTAGAAGTACAAAGGAGCAGAGCATTTGAAAAAAAGATTGAACCTGAATATAGTTCTTGAGTAAATACACAGCTTTTGTTTTCTTAACAGTGTTGTGCAAAAATAAAAGTATGCATTGTGGATACACGTTGGAACATGTTGGACCACATTTGAGAGAAACTGATGATAGACATAAGAAGTATGTAATCTTCACGGTAATCCTCGGACGCCTCTCAGCTGTAAATTGCAACTGGCTCTTCAAGCTAAAGTGACACTCTGATTTACTGAACATATAACTGCTGCTTTGTTGTGCAACGATGAGTAACATTATGTTTCCTGGTTGAGTAGATTTTCATCATCTTTTGGCTCAAAGTATGTACCACCAACGTATCACTATTGTTTAAATAGTCACAATACACGTCGTTGTAACAAACACCTGTAGAAAGCTGAGGTGGAATTAAACTAATTCCATTTACTGAAGTACTGTATTCACGTACTATTGGTTATGTTCTTATACTTTACTTGAGTATTTTCTTTTCATGCTTCTTTCTATCTCTACTCTACCACATTTCAGAGGGAAATATTTTACTTTTTACTCCACTACATGTATCTGATAGTTAAAAGGATGTTAAATATATATGAGGAGTTTGACTATAAGAGCAGATTTGTCATGAAAGAAAAATGGTTTCAATTTCTTCTTGACAACATGGTGAATCTGATTTATTTATGGAGTAATTAGTAATCCACTTATATACTGGAATAGCCACACCTTTTTCTGCATTAAGAACTCTGACGTTTAATGCCTTAGGTACGATTTCCTGATTATACTTACTTTTACATAAATAACATTGTGAATGCACTTTTTTAAGTGTGATATTAGTAGCCTACTTCTACTAAGGGAAGGATCTCAAAACTTCCTACTCCACTGTTAGAGAAGTCAGTGAGACCATTATGAGACGTGAAGCAAAGCCACTCATACTTCAGTCTGTCAGGCAGCTCTCTCATTGGTTGACCTGATGACTCATTGTTCAGCAATACCGTAACACTCCTCCAAACAGGAAGTAGAGACTAAACTATCTTCTTATTTCCATGAATCACTGTCTAAACATACCTTTAGACTGAAACCCAGGCCAGTTTATTGTAAATTATTCTAGATCATATTTCTGATCAATTGTTTATGACACAGATAACTAATGTAATAAAACGTAATATTTACTAATCATCGTTGCGCATCGTTTTAGTGAAGAGAATGTAAGGTCAACAACAAGTTGTAACATCATTGGCTGAATTACTATTAAAATGAAGTAGAGACTTTACAAAAAAAATGTTTTACTTGATAAATGACTTTCCTGCCAACACAGTGGTGGTCCTCACTAATTGTTAAATACAAATATAACTGTTTTGGTAATTAACAAAGCTATTTATTTTTAAATCTAAATGTGCTCAATAGTTCATAAAAATAAGAACACTTTAAATGATAATGCATTGTTTCGATTACCTTTTAGTTTGAATATCATCACATCAACAAAGTCTTAAAAAGCTTCTTTGCTTGTTAATGTCTGTCTGTGTATATAGAATAGAATATATCTTTATTGTCATCATACAAAGTACAAACGAAATTCCTTTGGCAACTCTCACTGCAGTAATAAAATAGACACAATAAATAAATAAGAGTGGTAAAAGCAGAGGTAGTAGCGATGACAGTGCAACGAGATAAAACTCAATGTGCATATTTACACTTACAGTCTAAATGTATATTAGTAAAGTAGCCATAAGTATGACTAAATAGTAATAGAGAGAGAGCCAAGCCGCTGCGTCTGCACGCGACGCCATCATGAATGAATGCCGAATATGTCCTGTTTTCTGTCAGTTTTTAATTGAATTTAGCCCTGTGGTGAGGAAATCTGACCCGAATACATCACATTTTGGCCATTACCGTGACAAAACACATATTTACAGCCCACTTTATTATTTTGCCTTTTTTGGACTGTTTTGTTATTTCCACTCGTTTGGGAAATTGGGAACATTTTCCTCAGAAATCTTTTAATCAGAAGATGCTGCTTACAAAAGGTGGAGAAACCCCGAAGTCATTGATTAATCTACTAACCACTTTAACACAACGCTAGATAATAGAAAGAAGGAATATGTGAACTACTGTAGCAGCGGCTGATATGTTTTTGTATGGTTGTTGCAATAATCTTGAGGCTTGAGGCAGATGTAAAAACAGCTTTACAGAGTGAAACAGCTGATGAAATATAGATGAGCATCTTTTGCTCTTGCAATAATTTTAGGGCAGATTGAGTCATGAAAGTGTTTCTTTTAACCACACCGCTACCACAACTGCAAAACAGTTGGATTGATTCTAATATTTATCCGTCATAAAGTACAGTGAGCTTTTACTGGAGAAGTATTTTTCATGTTGTTGTGTTGACTTGCATTTTAAATAACAGCTGTCTACATCTTCTTCAGTGGCTCCATATTTTGACTTTCTTTTATTCTAACTGTCTGTTTCTAAACCATTCTGTGTTGCTAGTAGATTTTCACAATTGTTTTTGATAGGGATGGTCGAATTTATTATAGTGACTACACAGATCGGGAAACTGGTATGCGCTGCTTGAAACTATTCGGTTTGGCTTTTAGAGTTTCTGGCCTTTTCTTAAAACAAGCAAAATCAAGAAAAGTTACTATAACATACAAGAATAATAAATATGCAATTAGCTGAGAAGATTTAGATTCTTTTTGCCGCTCTTTTAACATAAGGAAATCAATATATATATTTACAGTTCAATACATTGTTTAATTACCAGCTAACATGGTTATTACATTACATTACATTGCATTTAGCTGACGCTTTTATCCAAAGCGACTTACAATAAGTGCATTCGACCAAGAAGATACAAACTTGAAGAAAACAGAATCATATAAGTACATCAGGTTTCATAGAGCCAAACATTTCAAGTGCTACTCAACTGGCTTTAGATAAGCCAGTCCTTTAATATAAGTGCTTTGTTAGCAAATGTATCGCTCGAAGTGGAGTCGAAAGAGATGAGTTTTCAGTCTGCGCCGGAAGATGTGCAAGCTATCTGCTGTCCTGATGTCAATGGGGAGCTCATTCCACCATCTTGGAGCCAGGACAGCAAACCCACGTGTTTTTGCTGATGGGAACTTGGGTCCCCCTCGGGTGCAGCGAGCCGTTTGCCTGATTTAGAGCGGAGTGCACATGCTGGGGTGTACAGTTTAACCAGGTCCTGGATCTAGGAAGGGCCAGATCCATTCACAGCGGGTTGTAGCAGCGATGTTTGCAGTGAAGGACAGTTTGTTATCTAGGGTCACACCCAGATTCCTTGCAGTCTGAGTCGGGGAAACAACAGAGGGGCCGATGTTGATTGTTAGGTCAAGAGTGGGACAATCTTTTCCGGGAAAGAAAATCGGGTTCAGTCTTGTCAAGGTTGAGCTTAAGGTGGGAAGCAGACATCCACTGAGAGATGTCTGCTAGACAAGCAGAGATGCGTGCGACGACCTGGGTCTCTGAGCGGGGAAAGGACAGAATTAATTGAGTGTCGTCAGCGTAGCAGTGGTATGAAAAACCATGCGGGCTAATGACTGATCCGAGCGAGTTTGTGTACAGAGAGAAGAGGAGGGGACCAAGAACAGAGCCCTGAGGGACCCCTGTAGTTAATTGACAAGGGTCGGACTCGGTTTGATGAACATACAAATATATACAAATAGAGCAGTGCTTCATGATAATCTTTTTTGAAAGACTATAAAATCAGGAAACCATCAAACATAGGTTGGTTTAAGTGTGGTATATTTGTCCAACGGTTAACATGGTTTCCTTCTCTTCCTTTTTTCTCTTTATTCCTCTTTTCTGTTTCACATGCTTTTAATTCTCTCTCCATCTGTCGGCCTGTTTCTCTCTCCAGACTCTGAGTTGAACCACCGTGAGTTTCAGAGGGAAGTGCAGATCCTGAAAAGCCTCCGCCATCGTCACCTCATCTCTCTGTTTGCCACCTGCACGGCCTCGGCTCCGTACTACATCATCACTGAGCTGATGGAAAAAGGCAGCCTGCTCAACTTCCTCAGAGGTAAACCCCTCACTGTGGCACATACTTCTGTCTTTACGGAAGAAAAACTGAGCTTTATACCACAGGGTTAGTAGGTCAAGGGGTTAAAGATTGTTCTTCTGGTTCGAAAGTTGTTGTAGGTATAAACTACATTTTCAGTATTTCAAATTTAAATGTATAACTATAACTATACAAATATATGATTTAAAAAATGCACATGCACCTTAAGGTTATTTTAACTCTATAAGACATATTGCTTCTAAGTTTTTATCGCACTGCACTAGAAAGTGTTTCAGCATTGACATTGTTATTTGCTTATATGCAAATAAGAACAAATTACCTAAAACCCGTCATGCCTGTATGCATATCGGTGATTCAAAAACTTGATTCAAAAAGGAAAAAACACAATGTGCCAAGATTTAGCTTTAGCCTTTAGCATCTAGCATTTAGATGTAGCATCTTAACTGTGCCAACAAAGTGCACCAGATTGATGCATTTAATGTTAAATATACAACATTTATGGTGAAAAATAATAAAATGTTTGCAATATTGTGCAGCCCTAGTTTTAAACTATATTTGTTCTTTTTATTGTTTCAGGTCCAGAGGGGCATAATCAAGACCTTGCGGCCCTCATTGACATGGGAGCCCAGGTGGCTGATGGGATGTCGTACCTGGAGCAAAAGAACAGCATCCACAGAGATTTAGCGGCTCGAAATGTCCTGGTGGGGGAGGACTACATCTGTAAGGTGGCCGACTTTGGACTGGCCAGAGTGATCAAGGTAAGGGAGGAGGAGGTTATAAAGAGTCTTTTCTGAAGTCAAATCAAGCGGGCAGTTTGTTTAAGACAAAGCATTTGTCCTCCAGGAGCCTTTCTACATCACAGAAGACAAAAAGATTCCCTACAAGTGGAGCGCTCCAGAGGCCATCAGCCACGGGAAGTTCTCCAACAAGTCGGACGTCTGGTCTTTCGGTGTCCTGCTTTATGAGATTATCACATATGGAGGCACTCCTTACCCAGGTTGGTGGAATAAAATGTTGCAAAACTATCCTTTAAAGCCATTGCCCCTGTGTCTGTCACAACCCTAATGCTCACATTTGTTGATGCAGCTTAGGGGGGTGCAGCGGGTCTATCTACTGCAAACGTGGCATGAAATTACACAGACCGAATCCAGAATTTTGTCTTAACAAGTATTTTTTTTTATTTAAATGTTTTTTATTTTTCAGTTATAAAATAAACAGACATTGCTCCAGATAACAGAACATACAACAAAACATGTAACAACAAACAACTAAACAAAACGTAATGGGGGGGGAGGATGCAAGGATGACTTCCTAAGACAGCTGATTGTGACATACACAGGACATTACATACACAATACATTATACATTACACAGGAGATGCCATATTGACAGGGTCAGATAGGAGAGCTGCGGACAGTGAACCGCAATCCTCCTGTCTCCCCTCAAAATCCCCCAGCAGAGAAGCTGCACGCTCCATATTCAGTAGGTCCAGATTCTCCCTCAGCCATGAGTCCCTAGTAAAGCAGGCTGGTTTGCGTTCCTTCCAGTTTAGTAGGATGAGTCTTTTTGTGGCTAAACAGCCCAATGTCCAGAGCCGATCGGCAGTCCTTGCAACATTGCCATCTGGCTTGAGACCCAGTAGACATGCAATGGGACATGTAGGGAAATTAACTTTTAAAGATTCAGACATTAAGGGTATTACTTCTGACCAAAGTTTTTTTTACCGCTGGGCATTCCCAGAGTAGGTGCAACAATGTACCTCGCTTGCCACATTCATGCCAGCATAAGTCTCTGTGTTTATTGTCCATCTTGGATTTTGTAACAGGGGTGATGTATGCTCTATTGAGAATTTTGAACTGTATGATCCTGAATCTTACACATTTAGAAGAGAACATAGCTGACCTCCAAATGGAGTTCCATTGCAAAGCAGACAGAGAGATATTCAAGGCATGCTCCCAGGACAGTTGGACAGGAGAATAGGTATTCGGGGCAGCCCTAGATAATAATTTATAAATGTTAGAGACCACACCGGATTATATGATTGCTTTCTTGAGGCGCTGGTCCTCTTCCATACATGAAGCAGGCATGGCTCCCTCCTTACATTTTGTACTAATAATAGATGCTAGTTATGCATATGATAGAAAAGAGTCTGAGAGACCATACTGATTTTTGAGTTGTTGAAATGGAAGGGTTTGGTCTCTATATATCTGTCCAATTGTAGTAATACCAGCCCTCTGCCAGATATTGTTACTTAAGTTGCCTCCTCCTGCAGAAAGACAGGGGTTATTCCAAATGGGGCAAGATGGTAAAGAGAGCCCCTCTATGTTGAGTCTCCTGTGCAGTTGCTTTACAATAGAGCATGAAAAGCAGATGATGGTATTATCCATTGAGGGTGGTGGTTTTGGGCAGTAAATCATTGATGCCAGAGATATGTTTTGGTTTACAGACATGATGGATTGCTCCAGCCATTGCCAACTACCTACCGGAGAGGCACTTTTGTACGCCCACGATAATGGATACTTTGCATTGAAGGACAGATAATACTGGAATACATCCGGGACTCCCACACCTCCCATTGATCTTGGAATGATCAACTTATTATGTGCGATTCTGGGTTTTTTTATTATTCCAAAGGAACTGAGTGAATAGGGATTTGATATCTTTAAACAATTTTAGTGGGAATTCAAGAGGGATAGAGGAGATAATATGAGAAAGTCTTGGGAGAACATTCATTTTCAAGGTTTCTGCTCTGCCCATAGAGAAAGTGGTATGGCCATCCATCTGTTGATGTCCTCCTTAAAGGCCCTGTCACACTGTCCCGAAATTGACACCCGATGGACACACGAATATGGAATTGTGAATTTCGCACGAAGATGGCCCCGAACCACACACGAAGGCAACATTTACATTACATTTAAGACATACAACTGCAATGAAAGTACCAAAAACAATTATGTTACAGTACTATGATACTGTACTGATATCTTCAGACTTTGTTCTTTACTTTATCCGTCGTTATATGTAGAAAATATTACGTTTTCTCCGTAATGTTGTTTCCATAACAACAACAACTTCCTGTCAACTGTCCTTCAAAATAATATATTATATCCTTTTTAGTTTCACAGAACACAAATTGGGTTATTTACATAATATATTTACATGATTTTGTTGTGCAATAAAACAACCCGATGGACACACGATAAAGGAAATGTTCAAATTCGGCTGTGATCGTAGCAACATCGGGCCATTCGTGAGGGCATCTTAAGCCTTCGTATGACCGCCGGTGGAGTTTCTCAGGCTCCGGCAGCAACTTCGTCAGCGGTGGCAAAATCTTTGGCATGCCAAAAAATTGCCGAAGGACCTTGCGAAGGTTCATTTTCGTGTTGAATTCGTGTGTCAATTGTGCCCTTCGTAAGGACATCGTGAGGGCATCTTGTTATCATCGGTGCCATCGGGCATTCGCCCCGATCAGATTGACCGATGATAACACGAAGATGACACGATTTGACAAGATGCCCTCACGATGCCTTACGAAGTTGCCGCTCACGAAGTTGCTGCCGGAGCCTGAGAAACTCCACCGGCGGTCATACGATGGCTTAGATGCCCTCACGAATGGCCCGATATTGCTACGATCACAGCCGAATTTGAACATTTCCTTTATCGTGTGTCCATCGGGTGTCAATTTCGGGACAGTGTGACAGGGCCTTAATGGACTGGAAAATAGGAGAGACGATGTTAATTCCCAAATACCTCATTCCATTTGTTTTCCAAATAAAGGGGGTGTTCATTAGGTTGTGCTTATATGTATATGAGTTAAGTGGGATTGCTTCACTCTTGTTCCAATTTATCTTATATCCAGAGAAACTGCCAAATAAATGTATCATATCAAGAACTGTGGGTATAGAGAGTGCTGGCTTGCTCAAAGTAAGAAGTATATCGTCAGCGTACATATTTAATTTGAAATCGTGTTCATGAATATTCACACCATGTATGTCACCATTAGAGCGAATTGCACAGGCTAATGGTTCTAGAGCCATAATAAAAAGTAGGGGACTAACTGGACACCCTTGCCTCACGCCACGGTGTAAGGGGAAAGGTTTTGAGATGAATCCATTAGTTCTAACAGAAGAGAAGGGAGCGCTATACAAAGCCTTTACCCAGCTAATTAACTTGGGCCCAAAGCCACATTTCTTGAGCGTGTAAAATAGATATGCCCATTCTATTTGGTCAAAAGCTTTCTCAGCATCTAGTGATGCTGCAATCATTGGCAAATTGCTGGAGCTTGCTTCTAGGATAATCTGAAAAACCCTCCTCATGTTATTTGAGGACTGGCGGCCTGGAATGAAACCTACTTGGTCTAGATGCACTATAGATGGAACCACCTTCTCCAAATGGAGTGCCAGTATCTTGGCTAGAATCTTGTAGTCACAGTTGGTTACCCATCAGAGAAGGATCTTTGCCCGGTTTAGGCAACAATGAAATAATGGCCCTGCTCATGAAGGGAGGCATGGCTTCAGATTCTAATATTTCATTGAATAACAACAGTAAATATGGTGAAAGCTGTTCTTTAAAACATTTATAGAACTCTGTTCCAAAACCGTCGTCTCCTGGAGTTTTTCCTGATGCCATCTTCATGATTGAGTTTTCTATTTCATTTTGGGAAACAGGTGCCTCCATAGCAGATCTGTCAGCCAAGCTGACGCTAGGGAGGTTAAAACCTCCAAAAAAGCTATCTAAGGCTTCTTCATTCAAGTTATTTGTTGTGATATATAATTTAGAATAATAATTCTTGAAAGATTAATTGATTTTGGCTGCATCACACTGTAGCCTGTCATGCTCATCTCTGATCGCTGGAATAATCTGTCTGTTTTCTATTTGTTTCAATCTATGAGCTAACATTTTCCCTGCTTTGTCTCCGGATTCAAAGTATGTTCTTCGTAAACGAAAAAGAGCAAAAGCTGTCTCCTCATGTACAAGTTTCTGCAAATTAGTCCTAGCGGTGAGAAGTGAGTTCCTTAGATCTAAATTGGATGGGTCTAGCATATTCTTCTAGAGTCTAAAGTTTAATTGGGATTTCACCTCTCTGCGCTTTTTATTCTCTGCCGAGGAGAAACTAATTAACCAGCCCCTGCATGTTGCTTTAAAAGCCTCCCAGCCAGTGGTGACACTTGGACACAGAATTTAGATTGATCTCAAAGAAATCTAAAATGTGGTCTTTAATGAGCAGTGTACATTTTTCATTTTTGAGTAGAGATGTATTAAGTCGCCACTGTTTGGATTTGCAAGGGTTGGTTGGAGGGAAAAATGTGACAGATACCGCAGCATGATCACTTAATAATATACTATGCATTTTGATCTCAATAACATTCTGGATCAAATTTGAAGACATCATTATGTAATCTATCCTTGAGTAGGAGTTATGCGCACCGGAATAGAAAGAGTACTCTCGAGCATCTGGGTGCACTAGGCGCCACACATCTGTAATACCGAGCTCGGATTGGAAGTCCCTCAAGGCGGCGGAAATGTTTTTATCTGAAGGGAGA